AGTATCAGAAACATTAATTCCCAGCTGGGTAGGAATAGAAAAGAACATAAAATCACAACACAAGGCTATTCTGACCGTTGCATTCCTACATGTCCCGCCTCCAAAGAACACTGCTGGCATGCCATTGGTCCGACTCGCTGGTGGTTACGAGATGGACGTACTACCGGGAGCCTTTCAAGATGGATTTGTTGTGAAACTGAAAACTCAGATTTTGCAAAAATCCAGCTTGCAGTGCAGGCTTAATACAAGACAAGCTGTTAATCTGACTTGTACTCTGCCTCTTCCAGAAACTAATGCATTAAAAACACGTTTATATACCAGGCCATCTCTCTGTGGAATATGAGATTTATGCAAAATCATGTCTCCTTTAAATGTAACCTTAAGAAATCTAGAACTAATAAGGAAATTCTGTTTGTTTAACTAGGTAAGCATGGTGTATGTTTTTGCTTTTGTTTTAATTGTCTTTTTAAATAATGTTTCTTCTGTCAGTTTGTTGTATGTACTGGTTGTGATGATTTTAGATGAAAATGGACCCCAGGAAGTATAGTCTTTACTCTTGTAGAGACTAATGGGAATCCTTAAATAATGATGAAAAACAATAATAACTTGATAACAACATGCAAAATTCTGGAAAAAAATATACATGAAAGATTGAGATGTTAGTTCTTTCAAATTTTCAAAGCAGGTTTAGAAAAGGAAGAAATACCATGGATCCAGTTCTATGTCCTTAGCATGAAATCAGGAAGGCTCAGATTGATAGAGTGTTGTAACTGTGTTTTTTTAAATAGAAGAGACGTACGATATGATGTGTTTTACTTATAAAACTGAAAAAATATGGAATCAAAGGGTAAAAGTTTAAGTGGATAAAACTTTTTTTTCTATCTGAAAGACAAATACAGTAAGTATTTCATAGAAAATGGGGGCATAGTGTTGGGATCTGGAGGTGTGTCCACTTTCTCCACCAGAGGGCGCACAAGATCTCCTGGAGCATGAGCTGTCTATAACACCTGTCCTCTATCTGCTCATCAGGAGGCTCCCTACTTTAGGAGGCGGAGACCTACACTCCAGTGCCAGAGTGTTTGCCAGTAATGGTTAGCGAAGCCTGAGCCACCCTGTCTGTCTGAGTCTTCTGACTTTTTGTGAACTAAGCCTGATCCTGTTTACCTTTCTGTCTCACAGATCGATTCTGCCTGACAAACTGAAATCCTGGAGAGTTGTCTCTGCTGGTTACCTGCCTGCCCGCTCTCAGTTGAACTCTGGAGGGCTGCATCTGTCTGTAATCTGCCTGCCCGCCCTCAGAGATAACTTGGAGAGAAAAGACTCAGTCAGAGATCTGCCTGCCTCCACTCAGTAAGCTCTGCCTCCGCCCACAGCCCTCTGCCTGCCGAAAGCCTCTGGACCCTCAAGGTTCCCCCCCCCTCTGCAGCATCACTCCACTCCTGAACAGGTATAACCCTAAACATCAAACAACCTGCAATATACCTGGACCAACACTAACCCCTCTGTCCTCCTCAGCGGTGAACCCACTCCTGACCAGTCAACCACCCCCTCGGACCAGTTCATTGATTGTACATTTCTGTAAATAAACCTTTGGACTTTTTCTGTTCTGAGTGTTTCTGCATGTTGGTTAGACATCTTAATCCCAACATGACACATAGAGTGTCCCCTGTTATTCTCTGTAATGATAAATAACATGTTTGATGACATAGATATGGGGGTGGGGCCTGTTGACTGACCCAGACGATGGTGAGTCCAGTTCTTGTGTCATTATTAAAAGGAAGGCAATTGTACCTCTTAGGCCCAATATGGAGGGGAGAGTAACTGTCTGATCCAGCTGGAGATCGCAGTGTTCGCCCCATTGGCGAGCAATGTATGCAAACCTCCTAAAGGTTGGAGCTAAAGTCTGTAAAGCATACAAAGGGTGTTTGTGAAGAAGAAATGACATGGTTTTAAATAATAATCGAATATTTTAATCCTTCATAAGCGATAATGCAAAGGTGCTTAATCTGTTGAAGTTATTTTTGTAAACCTAATCTTTTTTAATGAAACAGTAATCATTTATAGGAACAGAGAAGTAACCGTTTAGAGGGACATGGCAGTGAAGGAAGCAGATGGAGAGGAAACAAGGAAGGAGAAAGACATGACAGTTGTGAATTAGGTCATGTGAGTCTTTGCAACTGAAAAAGGGGAAGTGCTGAATCACCAGTAATTCATCTGAATAAAGATACGAAGAAAGGTTGGGTACTCATGGACACATTGGTTCCACTGCACAGAACTTTAAGGGTATAAAAGTAGCCGGATGCTGTTTTAGGTGGCTCAGTCTTTGCCTCAGAGATAGAATAACTTAACGTCGGCAGCAGAGAAGGGAAAACTCCACCCTGATGGGTTTAGAAGTTGAGCCAGTTTTGCCTTCCTCTCACTTTCCTATTTTCCAACCAACGTTGGGTTAATATGACAACTGAACATCATTTTTGGAGATGGAACGTGATCGGTGGAGTTGGGGACAGAACTCGAAGTGGATGTTGAATTCACATCTCCGTTTTTGGATTCCAGTCCAGATTATTAACCGTATTTTTTAATGGATTATTTTTACTTTTCTACTATTTGGATTCTGGTTTGGTTTATTATTCGCCCTTTTGAAAGGATTATTCGATTCGCATAGATGGATTTCTGGATTCTACTGATGGAATTAATTACAACTCTCCAGTGTAGTTATGTTTGGATTACTTTGTTTTTTTACTCTCAGAACATCTTTGAACTGTGAGTTGTTGTGCCTATAGTGACTGACCGTTTTCACTAAGAAAAAGGGAAGATTATTCTCCTTTTGTTCCGGACTCAGAGACTTCATCAACAATCTGGAATACGAGTTGTCTGCTCTCCCGCATACATTTTAGAAAATCAGTTAGGATGTTTAATTGATTTTTATTTTATGTTAGATGTACTAACTGCTGATGCTGCTTATCCCTCGCTAACGAGATATTAATAAAGCATATTAAAATCTAGCTTAATGAGCGGACATTGGATTTTTGAGTCAATTTTTATAATGACTTCTTCAAAGATGTATAGAAGAGTTGGTGTTGGGTTACAGAATAAGAACTGAATGTCTTATTCAGAATCTTTTGGCCAAGTTTTAATAAAACATCATCCTTGTGATTTTCAGTTGCTAAATAATGTATTGACCATTTTCCAAGTGCGGTTGGTCGAGTTGTAACCTGGCTGCTAATACACCTGACCCAGGTTGGTAAGCTGTGCAGTAGCTCCATAGGAATGAAAGGAGGGAGGAGCTGAGCACAGATTAGACGACAAACTCAGTAAGGCTCAGATTGATAGAGTTTTTTTTATATAGAAAAGACGTATGATATGATGTGGAGGTAGGGTTTAACTATAAAACTTAAAAAATAGGAATTAATGGGCAAATGTTTAAGTGGATAGAAAGTTTTTTTTTTATCTGAAAGACAAATACAGGTATTACAAAATAGTTATTTCATAGAAAATGGGAGCATAATGAGCCCCCTGTTTGTCTTTTTAATGATAAATGACATGTTTGATGACATAGATATGGGGGTGGGGCCTGTTGGATGACCCAGACGGTGGTGAGTCCAGTTCTTGTGTCATTATTTAAATTAAGGCAATTTTACCTCCTAGGCCCAATAGGGAGGGGAGAGTAACTATCTGCTCCATCTGGAGGGTTGTTTACAGGGATGTGATTCTTGGAAAAGACTGCATTTTTTGCCCCATTGGCGAGAATGTATGCAAACCTAAAGTTTGGACCTATTGTCTGTAAAGTATACATATGGGGATTGTGAAGAAGAAATGACATGGTTTAAAAGTATAATCAAGTATTGTAATGAAAGCAATGATGCAAAGGTGCTTAATCTGTTATAGTTATT